TTGTATATATTTTTTGTTGTCTTATTTAATTTGAGTCATACTCTAGTGGATAAATTGTATATGTGCTTAATGGTTTCTCTTTGTCGTGTGATCGAAGTGACTAACTCAAGAAGTTATTTGTGGTTGCTCACTTTCAAATCTAATATTATCTGTTAGTTATATTTACATTGTCACAGTCTTCAAAATATTCGAGTCTAATGGTTGTTCAATTGTTTTTGACAGAGTATGAGCACTTCGACTAATTCACTTTTCAAATTTATTTTGCATAATAATGCAAAATGCAAATGCAATTTGTTATCGTATCGGGAAAACAATTTAAGTGCCAACAAATGCACATACATAAGGGGCGTGGCTGAGTAGTGCCCCAAAAAAGGAATTTCATTTGTTTGTGTGTGACTTGTAAATGTCGTGAGATCTGTCTCGATTGTCTGTTTCTTGACAGCTTTAACATTTTCATTTAATACCACATGACTCTGACAATGACAAACATAAAAGCGAAATGATAAATTATTAAAGTGAGCATGGCAAATGATTTCCAATTGCTTTCCTGGTGTGTAATTAATTAAGGCGTGACATTAAAAACTTACCCCCATTAATTGTTCAAAAACCAACGAGTAGGAATACTTGAGGATTTAGTATATGTGCAATTTATTTGGCATTTTTTGCATAATTCCAGTCCGGGTGTCATCCGTTTAGAAGTCACTGCTGGGACGTCTAGCTGGAGGTTTCTACTTCTGGCTGGCAAAGCTCATTTCCGTTTTTTTATTTAAACACTTGAGGCTAAAATGTTTGCTTTGCCCAATGCCCCGAGCAGCGAATGAACGCACTGCAAAATCATCATAAAAGGCAAGAAATGAAAAAATAAATAACCACACTCAAAAATACAATTGAGAATATTGCACTCCATTGAAGTGCGAACATTGCTTGTAGGTGGACAATTCTGGAGCAATCAGAGAACACATACACTTTAATCCAAAAATTTCTAAATCTAAGACTAGTTATATTAAAACTGTTTGCAATCCAAATTTTTACTATGTGAAGAACTCAATTGCTTAGACTATTAACATTTATTAATTATTCAATGTACACAAGTTCTCAAATAATTGAATAAACAGCAAACTATATGTTAATGTCTATAATGAATTTAAGTTCCTAGATTAAGATTCATAATGATTCAAAAAAAAAAAAAAAAGAAAAACGTAAATTATTATAATTTTGTTGGTAAAACAAAATTATAATAATTTGCATTTTGTATGTTTTTCAAGTTTTTTTTTTTTGTAATTGGATTTTTAACCACTTTTTTTGCTGAGTGCACCCAAAATGGATGGAAAAAAGTTTCTGCCTAAGAATAGCCTAGCTGGAGGTGTGGAGATGTCGTCTGGCAATGCTGGCGAGTGGATTTTTAAATTAGTTTGCCGACTCTGCGCAGTCAACAGGACCAACTGAACTGTTTGGCGTCCTTCATTCTTTCTGGGCAAATGGACTTCCAAGCCATTGGCTGTGACATTTTGGTGCTTATTTGAATGAATTAAGTGATTTTTCAAGTGCTAAGCTCCAGCCACGAGCTGCAAACTCATTTCCGCCGACCTACGACTTTAACATTCTCACGCTCTCTCACGCTCTCTCTCTCTCTCTCACACTCTCTCTCTATCGTTCTGTCTGTTTTCCATTCTTTCTTATATTTGGCTTTAAGCTTCATTGGACTTAAATTTTTTGTTTGCGGCTACAGCGAGCTGTTTATTTACAGGCAATGAAAACTTTAACAGCCACTCGCAATTTGGCTGTCTGTGTTTTACGGCAGTCCATCTATTTAGACAAGCTAAAAATGTTCAACAAAAAATTCAAAACATAAATAAAACTGCTAAATAGGCAGCAGTTAAATGTTGCTTTGTCTAGAATATACTCTACTCAGATGTAAAGCAGTAAAGAAACATCATTTTAACTTGTTTGCAAACTAAACTAAAACTTTGTTTAAGGTAATCCATTTTATTATAACAGTTTACATACATATACATAACTTTTGTAAACTTAAAAAAAAACTGGTAAATTGTGTTTGCATCATAGAATAAGGGCCGCTTTGTTTTAATGCACTGGGCAACGTAAAATTAAATAATTGCACAACCGATTCAATGAGGAACTGGAGCTACAAATCGTTAAAATGCACTTGATTACTATCTTAACGTTTAACTTGATGTTTTAAAATCTCTTAAAAGTTGAAAAAAGTAATTAAAAGTAGTTAACCTTAAACAACTGATGACGAGCATTAGATATATGCATTTTTATAGATATTTTACAAATTTTGACCGTTCCTAGACCCTTGCAGAGGCTATTATTATTTTAATATTCAAATAGGTAAATTATCGATATATGTACTGGTCTACTTATGATTGATGATTATTCTTTTTTATATTTATCCATAGGATATCTTATATATATATATATATATGAATAAGAAATATTATTTTGTGCGTTTTCACGAATTATTATTATACCAGGCAACTTACATTCAAATCAATATTTTACATGCCAGAATTCATGTTGGTTGCATAATTTATTTTTCTTCTGTAAGTATTAAATGTTTTTTTTTGTGGAATGCAGGCAGATTAAGGAATGAGGTGATAGTAGAGTAAAGATTAGAGAGTATTCGGATAACAAAAATCACATAATCAAATAAATAAACTAAAATGTTCAGTGTGCTTATCATGAAAAAAGTGTTGTGACAAAGTGACAAATGGCAGATATTTACGTATGCAAAGAAAACTCTTTTTCAAATCATTTCTTTTATTTATTTATTGTATGCGCAACGAATGAAGTTTGCAGCGTTTGTCAGGTTTTGTTCTCCTTGTCGGGTTAAGATTGCTCAGACTGTTGTTGTTGTTTTAGTTGTTATTGTTTGTTTTGTTAGTTGATGCACATTTATAGCACATACGACACGTGTGCGTGAGTTGACAACATTGCAATAAGGCGTCAAAGTGTCACGAAATATCGGAGGGGTGGGAAAATATAACGCAAATTTGCTGAAAAGAAGCGTACACAATTCGTGAAGGAGTTATATGGCTCACACCCCTGCCCTACACAACCCCTGCCATTCACTTTGTTAGCTTCTTTGGCAGTCGTGCTCGAGCTGTTTTATTGTTATGTTATTTTTATTTAATGCCAAGTTTATTGCCAGCACCCAGCACACAACCAGCGCAACACACATAAGTGCAGACACCTAAAACAATTTTATAACCCACCCATAAATAAATATATTTCCCCCACTGCTTTCCTTATATGCAAGTCTCGCTCTCGCTCTCTTTCTATCTGTCTGACTCTGTCTCTCTGTCTGACTGATAAAAACTGCCTTCGATAGCCACCCAAGCTATCAAGTAGTTAGTTGTGCACACCCAAACACACACACACACACAGACACTCACACACAAATTTGTATGAGATTTGAAATACTTTTCTCAGTATGTGTTTGTTGCATATTTGAATATATATTTTGTCGCTTTTGTTTTGGCATTCAACTTGTGTTAAAGAATCTCAGGTTTCATTGCCATATGCACGTAGGCTGAAGTCTGTCGTCGACTGTCGACTGTCGTTGCTGTTGTTTTTGTTGGTATAAATGTAATTTGCATGCATTCACAGAATGTAACACATGACAAAATTCAGTGAGTTTGATAGAGTGCACAGAACACCACACAAGAGCCACAATTTGTCTGTTGTCTGTACAACAACAAAACAAGTTAAAGTCCCACTCTTTAAACCTGAATACAGGGAAAAGCTTTTACGCTGATTATAGTCAGCATTAAGTATTAATAAGACCTATTATATATACATTATATATATATGAAATACGGCCTATTCTCTGTTTGACCTTTGCAGTTGTATGATTTTGATTGTGAACCCCTTTCATCTGAATGAAAACATGAAGTTTTAAAATAATTTCAAGATGATTGGTGAAACTTCATCTCAATCATTTCCACACTATTCCTTTAAAGCTGTCACAACAGTTATGCAAAGCTTACCAGCACTAGCACTTAAATTAAAAATCCAACTAAATATTGGTGTATTTCCTTATATCCAACCTGAATCTCTTGCTAAAGTGACTTCATCAGTTCCAGGTGATGTAAGTTAATCACCAAGCCAGAGGAAAAGTTACTATATGCAAACGTAATTCAGTCAACTGCCAACTGGCTGTTGTGTATTCATTGAGATTCACGCCGAGAAATGAAACAAAACTTTTGTGCAGAACTCAACTTTTGCAACTCCATTGTATTTGTCCCCACACTGAAAGCATTTGATTTAATTAGGCCACTGACAATGGCAATAGCAACCAAAATGGTTGATATATTGGCACGTGCCAGATTCCAGACTGCCGTAAAGACAAAACACAACGAATATATGCTTTATTTCTTTTAAAAGCATTTTGTCTTATGCTGGGCAAAAGATACTCAAACATATTTTATGAAATGAGATGAAGTAAAAAATAAACATATTATAGCAGTTATCTGAGGCAGCTTAAGTTTGCATTTCTTCGCAGAATGGAGTCCATATTTGCGTTGCACTATTAAATAATAGCAATTACAGATTGGTATATAGAAACTATTTAATACAATATTGCAAAAAAAAAGTGTCAAGTAATGTTAATGAGTTTTGTTCAGACATCTATTAAGGCAAAACTGTTTTTGTATTAAAAGTACTTACAAATTTTTCTATATTTACTCCGCTATTGATGCTCTTACGCTTTCAAATATCTTATTAATTGCACATTCAAATTCATCTCAACTGCAGCAAAAGCAAATATCATTTTGCTGGAATTGCGGATTTATGGCTAAAGTCATGAGCAAAAAAATAATAATAAAAATAAAACATTTAATTTAAAATCGTTGCACTTGAGAGTCCAAAACCAAAAACAAGAGACGCCTATTTCAAATAGATCAATTTGCATAGCTAAAACGCCGCTAGCGTCAGATCGAAAAAAAAAATAAATAAAAAAAAGTGCGTTTCTCACTTACCTGAATAAATCATTGCGAGATTGAGATTGCGATCGTGAAGGCGAAGGCGACACTCTGGGCCTGAGAGATTAGAGACGCCAAATTGATTGGAAATTCGGTCAAGTTTTTAGTTTATTTTGCTGTTGTTGCTGGATGCACTTTAGAGGCGGTAACCGGCTTGACAGTTTGTTTAAATTATGTCTATTTTTTATTATGTCTCTCTTTCGTTCCAACGCTTGTTGTTGAAAAATTGAAAACGTTTTCTGTTTTTTTATTTTATTTTTATTTTTTTGTGATTGGCATGAATTGCTTTGCACAGGCTGCAATTTAGCGTACAAATTATATAATTAATTTGTTGAACGATTTATGGCCAAATATTTATTAGCCGTCCAAAAATAATTGTAAGCTGATTTGCAAAAAACATATGCCACATTGATAATTAACATAACTAATTACTGCACAAAAATGTACAAAGTGATTCTTTTTTCATTTTTATGTTGACATTTGATTTTATTAAACGATCATTATGCAAATTTAACAGTCTACATTAAAAACAATGAAATTATTGCGGAAAACAAAAGAAATCACTTACACACACACACACACACACACCAACTCACACACGGACTCTTCACTCTGCAGTTTGCACTCAAATAACAAAACGCGCGAACACACAATAAAATCACATAAAATATATTTAAAGCTCATAGGCAATAAGTAAAAATTTGAGAAAATAAGTGCACTCACTTCCACACACTCGAATACAGATTTCGTTCAACTTTCTTATTTTGTGCACTAATTATTTGTATGTGTATTATTTTCATTCGAATTTTTGTTGAGCTATTTTTGCATTCGGAAGCACGTAGTTTCAGTTGATGTTGTTGTTAAATATGTATGTATGTCACCTTATCAAATATCATCTGAATGAATCATTGCTGAATACTTTCAATGCATTCATTCACTTGTATCTCACTCGGACAGCGGCAATCCTTGCACAATTGTTCGATACGAGGACTCGACGGCAACTGAATGCGTCAAACTGAAACGAAGTAAAAACGCCTGCGATCACGACTTCGTTCGCATTTCCACTTCGGCGCTCGCACACACACACACACACATACACACACAACTAAAATCTTTGCGTATTGTACCGTTATAAAGCTCTGTTTTAAAATGGCGTTTTCATGCGTTCAACAACCAATGCGGCGTCATTTTCAACACAAACTGATTGCCAATACGTTTCTAGTTGAAGCTCGAGCCCCATGCGGAACGTTATGGCAATGGAACACATCACCACACTGAGTTTTCCAATAAGGTGGCAGTAACTGTTGCCGACGCATCGCGATACGGGACAAGCAAACATTTTACAGCATTTACTTTCAGCCAAATGGATCATAATCAAAAACAAAAAATCGTATTGCTAACAAACATGGATAATCTTGATTCAACAATTGACAATTTTAAAGTTTACACGAATCACAGAATTTATTCTCAACTGTTAAAAATGCTACGAAAGAATAAACAACAATCTGGATTCTGGATTCTTCATTCACTGATTATGTGAATAATTTAATTTTCCCTAATTTAATTATGACTTCTTTTTCACTGTGTACAAGTATATCAATAACATACTAATTAGGGGCATTTTTATTATATCGGATATGTTGGCGGAATTACGGCTGGGAAATTCACTTTGATATGGCGGCTACTTGTTGGCCATTTGACGCACTGCCCCTGAAGGACGCATAATAAATTGAGAGCATCACAGAAAATTTGCTTTTGACCAGCAAAAAGGGCGAAGGATGCGGCGCAAAGGACACGCACTACTCGCAAAAGTGTGAATTGTATTTTGGGCTTTCCGTTTTGACGCTCCCTTTGCTTTGTTTACAATTTCACTTGATGCTAAAGTTGACATTGTCAATTTAAAAAATTTCTTTTTCGCTTTTTATTTTCTTCTTTTTTTATATATATTTTTTTTTTTTGTTAACCAGTTTTCCATTAGGTTCTTCTGTTGCCCTTTGGATTTTAGCAGCTGATTTGATTGCATTATACAACTGGGGATTACAGCCACTTGGCCAATAAGCGGCAATTGACTACCTAAGACCGCCCGAGAGCATTTGAGAGGGTTTCAAAAGTGAAGAGTCAAGTGCTGTCTCAAACAACTCCAATAATTGTTAGGATTATATGAAATTTGTACTTTTGTGGATATTCGACTCCCTTACGAGACAGAACATAAATCAGTGAATTAGCGATTATTTACTGTTCACCAGACGTAAACGAGTATATTTTCCAGACTTATAGCCAATATCAATTGCACAAACCAATAGACTCTTAAAATAATAATAGAATATAAAACAACATAATATTTAAGTATAAATTTATATATCTATATATTAGACTAAACGAGTTTTCAAAAAGCGGGACATAATAAATATTCATATTAATTAATTCAAAAGAATATTCATTGTATTGAATGTTCAACAGCTTCCATCCTTTTAGTGATATATATATACATATATATAAATATTAGCGTTATTTTAATGATTTGCATTTCAAAATCACATAGCAAAAAAAAAAAAAACTAAAAATAAACCAATCATTCGAGCACTCACTAACTTTCACTTGAGTTAATATAAATTTCAATAAATCGTTGTACCAACCTCTCACCATGAAATTGCGATGAAGGCATATTTAAAGCAAATAATGTTATTTATTCGTCATTTGGTCTAACTAAAATCCATTAGTCTAGGTCTGGCTTACAATACGTACACACATATATATACATATATATTTAGATGGACAATTTGTTTTGCAAATCGTTGACATTTGTTTACTTTGAACGCCCAACTGGAAGTCTGTGAAACGGTAAATAAACGTATACGCCCCAGGCATATACCAACATACACATACATGTACACACATACCAACATACACATACCCACACACAGACCCACACCCAGACAAATACACACATACAGCCAGGCACATCTTCTGCAGCAGCAGTAGCAAGGATTCATCGCTAATTAGGATAAACAGCTGTTGCCAAATTAATTACATATGATGGGCACATGAACATGAACACGAGCCCGAAATACAACTGTAGCCTTTATTTAGACTTGCCTGTCTTTCTCCCAAAAACCTAAACCGTCCGAAAAGTGCCTCCCTGTCTCACACACATTTCTCTGCTTTTGCGTCGTAATCAAAATGAAACACGTTCAACTTTTGGCTAATACAATGTGAATCTATCTCATTGGTGGCAATCCCTGCTGCCAGCAATAAATCTCACAGTCAAAAGAGACTTTTTGTTGAAACTGCAACCAGCTGCTTGCAGCATCGCCTAGCTACCACCTCGTAAATTTGCATAAGCAGGCGCCAAAGATGCACTTGGCCGTGGTACCTGGCACCTGGCACCTGGCACCTGGCACCTGGCACCTGGCACCTGACAGTCAGTAAGTCACCAACGAAAAACTGCTAACTGACTTTTTGGCTCATAAACGTTCACATCAATTCAGATAATATGTGCAATAGAATTTAGATATTTTGTAATTTGGATTATCAATGCATGATATTTCTTAAAAAGAAATTTAATAAGAACTTGCTTAAAATCAAACACAGATAAACAATCTAAATTCAAGAATCAATTCCTGCTTTAAGTAAGTTTTAAGAAAACAAATATTTCTAAAAAGTAATTATAACTAAGACATATTTTTTATTATTTAACGTCTCATTCGACAATTTCGAATAAAGTGTTCTTTTTTTTTTGTAGTGCAAATGCTCAACATGCAATTTGGTATATTTTATGCTGCTTTAACGACCTGGTCGACAAAGAAAAGTAAACGGCGCGAGCCGAGTGCATATTGCGAGACAAAAGAACTTAAAGTGCTGCAATAATATGTATACACAAGTTGTATGCAAGTTGCTTTTTCATTTTTACCGTCGTGTTTGTGCTTTAAAAATTTAAGCATTGCCCCTTTAGCAACTCTTCTTTCTTGTTGGCCCTATTCTAAGAACTGTACCCAAGATCTGATAATCCACATATTCTGATGGTTTTGGGTGTTCAGTTTTGCACAAAGCTGATTGCACATAATTTGTATATTTTCATTTCCAAATCCCAAAAATAGCACACATCCATTCGCATATATACACACATTATATGAATTTGGATTTTGTGATTTTTCTTTTACGTTTTTTCTCTTTTCGGGGTATCGATTTGATACTTGACAATTAAGGGCTCAGACTTGCTTAAACTTGGCCAAGTATTTTCGAAATTTTCTGTTGATTTTATCAGCTTGAGCCCCTAAACACAATTTAAATTGAAGGATTTGCAATGAGTTTTTATCTTTAATTGAAGCGCAAAGAGCACTGAAAACATAATCATTATTTAACAGTTCTGAATATTTAATTTGGCTATCTATTTTTGATACAAATTACTTTAAGTAATCGGATTATGTAAGTTTTGACTGAAGGCTGGGTTAGTTGACAGAGAAACTAGTAATTCTTTTTCATTTGGCTTGTAAGACTTAACTTAAGAAAAATAAAATTTTGTCTACTTTTATACATATTTCTGCTCGATGTTGCTTTGCATAAATCAGAGAGACTGCTTCACAGCGATTGTGTAATCTTTAATCCTTAATCAATGATGCTGCCCAAATGAATAGAATACGATTTAGGGGCACACAACGATTACGTTTAGAGATGTATGTTTGACTCTGCACATTTTTCTATTTATATTATTACTCCTTTTGATTGCGTATCTTGATGTACGTATAGCTCTTGGATTTGCAAGTAGTAGATGCTTGATAGGCTGGCTCTAACGTTTTCTTTTTGGATTTTCCTGTATTTTTGCATTTTGTTGCTTCTTCCGTTGTATTTTGTGAAAGTCTCCCCTAATGCGACTGTTTGGCTCGGCGCTTCTGTCAATCAAAGGCAAACACCTGTAATAAATATTCGTTTGTCGTTTTTGGTTAACGCTTTCGTTTCGCTCGGTTATCCTGCTTTTCTGGCTGCCTGACATATACATTTCGCTTGATTTTCCATGTGAGCGCACATCGAATAGCAAATGCGGGCTCCGGTTGTGTAGTGGCAGAGAGAAAAACTGCCTTGCTGGCACATTTTCATGTGGCAGGCATCGCATGAAAACTTAACTCAATCTCCATTTTGGAGCATTGGCTGCTCGCATCAAATGCCAGCAAGGACTATCATTGGGCTAACAGCACGAAAGAAGTGCAGCCACGCACTTGATGTCAAAAACACTGAACAGCACACTCAAAGAAAAGTGCTGTGCTAAGAATGGCTTTAAATTTTAAGCTCTGGTTCATACGCTTCGTTCTTAAGCAAGTATCAAATCAAGAATAAAATACATATTTGAATTAAAAATGGATCAAATGCATTCTAATCCTTAATTTTAAACCTTAAGCTTTTGATTCAACCAGAATCACTTTTATTGTCAGATTTTAACAGAATTGATTTATGAACTAGGTAAAAACAACTGAGAAAAAAACTGTCGGGCGCAACCAACTCTGAAATACTCTGATATCAATGTATGCGGGTCGACCAAATATGTTTTTATTTTATTTTTATTTTTACCAGTTTTTGAAGGAGGTACATAGCAATTTACCTTCCAAGCTTGATAACTATTAAGACCTGCGATTTATATTTATTCAGAGCTTTGTGCTTAATACATAAAATAGGTTCGCTTCATGCGACTTATATTCAAAAGACATCAAAAGCATCGCAATTTTAACACTTTGTCTGACGCGTGTATAGATAAGTATATGTGTCAAGTCACTAGATTCGAAAAAAAAGTTGCGCTCATACGAACGGACAGACGGATATATTCTTGCTCCCATAAGAAATGGCAATAAAAATATATATTTAACAGCTGGATTTAGGGTATATCGTAGTGCCTTCTTTCTTGTTTGCTTTTGTTAGAGCGAAGTTTCCCGCGTCTTAAGAAAATAAAGCGAAATACCACCAGCGTTGTATATTCAACCAAAGTTTATTCAAGACTGTCGCGGTGCTGTTAGTTAACAGTATTGATATACATTAATGAAGGACTTAACATGTATATGGATGCACGGTTGCATTGAATGTAAATTAACATAATTTTCAACAGCTTTTATTCCCAAGGAAAAAAGGGTATAATGTTTATATGCAATTGCATGTGATAGGGAAAATAAAGTATATCCGATATATGTATATATATAAATATATATATATTTTAATCGTATCACTATCAACAGTGGCAAGCATTATTATCAAAGTGAGCAATAAATAACATATTTTTTTGATTCTTAACGCATTTGAGTTCTTTGTTCATTATTATCAAAGTGAGCAATGAATAACATATTTTTTTGATTCTTATCGCATTTGACTTCTTTGTTCAGTACACTGTTGATATATATATATATATATATATATATCAACATTGTTAATCGGGATCATCAGTCGAGTCGATATAGATATGTTCGTCTGTCCGTCCGTCTGGATGAGCATGCGGGTCTCAGAGAAATATAAACTTTCATATATCACGCGCCGATCGAGTCCACTTCTCGAATATCGATATATTTCGATTTCCGATAGCAAAAAAAGCCACAATTTTAAAAGCAATGGCTCGTGAATGATTTATACTATACATTAAAAATACATACAAATACATTTCATTAATATTTGATTAGAAAAACCCAAGCTGTAGTCGAAAATGTAATCTCATTTTAATCGTATCACTATCAACAGTGGCAAGCACAATGAATAACATATTTTTTTTATTCTTATCGCATTTGACTTCTTTGTTCAGTACACTGTTGATTTTCGTTGGGTGTGGCCGAACCATTTATACATAAAAATAAATCATATATTCACATTTGATCGACAATTGTCTTGGGCAAACAATGGCTAATATTTTGAGATTAAAAGATGTACATCTGGATAACGTTAAAATACTTAAGTTACAAAATAACAGAGTGCATTATTTCAGATAATTCAATATGGTTCTTACAACGCCCGTGAAGCCATATGGAGTAATAAAGAGAGCGTGGCAATCCCATTATCTGAGACCCAACTTCAGAAAGACGATATACATTTACTTATGCGTATCAGACATCCGAATATTATTGAAATATATGGCATACAGCACGATTATGTACTAATGGAATATTCGAAATGTGAATCTCTGCACACTTACTTACATGGGAAGGAGCAGAGAGAATATACAGTAAGAGATGTGCTTTCCTGGATGCATCAGGCCGCTATGGTATGTTATATATGTATATATTTAAAGGCCAATGCAATTAAAAAGCTTTTCTTCTTTATGTCAATTGTAGGGTCTTCAGTATCTCCATTCTATGGAACCTAACCCGTTTTTCCGACATATTAATACCAAGAAATTTTTGCTATCCAATAACTTTTGCACCCTAAAAATCGGTGGCATTTTGGAGGAAGAGCTGGAATATGAGTCGCCATTAGCATCACTGGTTGTGTATATATAAGATATATATATATACATATATAAATATTAAATATTATATATATATATATATATGTATATAAATATTTATATAAATATATATTTATCTATCTATCATAATTATGTTTTCATGCAGGTAAAATCACAAAAAGCGTGGAATACTCAGAAGAACAACGTGTACAGCTTTGGTATTATCTTTTGGGAGTCTATGTCGCGAAAGATTCCGTTATATCACGGTCTTATAAAACAGGCACCACAAACTGTTGTTAAATACATTACCTTCATAGGAATAATACCAATACTTAATGAAATACAAATACCCAACTCTGAGCCGATTAAAGAATTAATTGAAAAATGCTGGAATTCGGATCCTGTTAAGAGCCCAGCAATGGAAGAGATACTTTCCCAAGTCACACATTTTCTGAAGTAAGCTAAATACGAAATTTGTTATTCATGGATATTATAATTATGTGATGACTTATTTGATTGCAGTAGTTTCGACCCTTCAATATTGGATCAAGTCTTCAGTGCTAATATAGGAAAATTCTGGGACTTTGCAGCAATTAAAATGGGCGACGTAATAATATAACATATAATATATATATATATATAATTCAAATTCATTTATATTTATCGTTTTTATACACCTTACAGGAAATTGGCAAGGGCTACTTTGGCGTTACGTACAAAGCGACTTGGAATGATACGACTATTGCTGTAAAAAAATTGACACACATTATGAATGAAAACATTAAACATCGAATCGAGGAGCTAATGCCTTTATCAAATCCACATATTGTGTCTATACTTGGCATCGCAATGGATGGAGAATTTGCAAATATACTAATGGAATACTTGGATTGTCCATCCGTGTCCGATTATATCCACGATCGTAGATACGAAGTTAGTTTGGATTTGGTTTGGTACTGGATGTCTCATGCTTCTGAGGTATTTTCTATAACTGAATATTTGCACATATATATCCCCTAAAAATTTACAGGTTGTAATTACGATTTTCATTTGTAGGCAATTAATTACCTTCTATGTGAGAAAAAGCTAGACCCCCGTTTTCTTTGCAATTTGACGCCTAAAAATATGATGTTGGGTAAAAAAATGCAATTATGTAATTTTTGTCTTGCATTCGACGATAAAGATGGGTTGAAAGAAAATCTAGATAAGTCCTACTTAGCACCGGAGGTCTGTATGACTGCCAAGCAAATTTGTGCAGTAAATATGTTGTATATTAATTCTTACGCAGGTGATGAACGAAGGAGAATACTCTGCGCAGAGCGTCGTATATACCTATGGCATTATCTTCTGGGAGTCATTGACACGTCGGGAGCCTTTCCACAACTATCATGCAGTTAGTATTAAGAAGGAACACCACAAAGGTACGCAAGATGGAATTCCAACGAAGAGATTGCATAATTTTGATTCTTGCAGGTAAACGTCCGCCTATTGACAAAATTAAACAATTCGCTCCAGATTCCCTACAGCAAATTATTTTAAAATGTTGGCATGAGGATCCGAAGAAACGACTTGAGCTGGACAAGTTACATGAATCAATTTTGGAAATCTATCTGGATATCAAATATTTTAAGTAATTATTAAAGATTCTTCTTAAAATATTATCAAAATTTTCAATATCAATTATTAAATTCTCTACTGTTTTTCAGGCCGGAACCGTTGCGTATCTCCACCATTATCCCCAATACCATTTATATTGGCGATATAAATATATTAAAAGTATTATTTTGTAAAATTCGTTTATTTTCTTTAACTACAATTTATTTTCTGCAGACTGTTGGAGAAAGTCAATTTGGCATTGTCTACAAAGCTGATTGGCATGGATGGGATATAGGGTTGAAAAAATGTAAAAATGTTTTAAATAGTGATATCAATTCAGATCGTAAAGAAGAGATCAAACATTTTTCACGCATGGACCATGAGAATATTGTAACACTATATGACATTGGTTATATTGAGAAAATTGCACATTTAGTCATGGAATATTCTAATTGTGGATCTCTCTACAACTACTTGCATGGTGAGGAACAGCGAAGTTGCACTGCTATAAATTCCTTTCACTGGATGTATCAGGCGGCAAAGGTATTTTACTATTACTTTTTTGTCCGAATAATTAACAGATTTTTAAAATTCTGCTTAAAGGGGATTCAATACCTATTAGATGGGAGACCAATTACAACTATACATCGCAATTTAAATTCTCAAAATATGTTGCTGTTCGATAACTTCAGAGTCTTGAAAATCAGTGATTATTGCTTTCCGGCAGAGGGGGATTCTCTTTTAAACTATCAAGATAATGCCTATGTAGCACCAGAGGTTTGTGTTTCTATTCAATAAATGATTTTAAATTAACAAAATTAATTCATGAACAGGTCTTCGAGGAAGGAAAATATACAAAAGAGAGCGACGTATATAGCTTTGGGATCGTGTTTTGGGAGGTGATGTCCCGCAAGAAGCCCTTCTCTCAATTCAACAGATCATTTGAATTCACTAATGTAGAAGAGATCCAAAATGGTACGAAAGTTAACCGATTACCAATAAAGCGTAAAACAACTTTGAGTTTTTCAGGGAAACGTCCGCCTCTGAGTGATATAATTGAATCAGAATTTAATTACATAAAGGAAATAATTGAAAGGTGCTGGGATACAGACCCAAAAAACCGTCCTACAATTTCGGAACTAGTCGAACAGCTGCATGAACCTGAGTAAGTTAGAAATGAAATATATGTTTTAATTCTAAATTGAATTTATTAATATAAGTGGTCTACAAATGTTCCTGTTGTTCAATATAAATATGTAAATTAACTCTAAAACTATTTCGCAGGTTGTTTGAAAATGTAGACTATGCAGATATTGAATTTCGAGAGGTTAGATGAAATAATATATTTTTCACTATTTATAAACATTAATTTTAACCCACCAGGAATGTATTGGTCGAGGTACCTTCGGAATTATCTGCAAAGCTAACTGGTGCGAAAAAGAGATCGCAGTACAGCAATGCACAAAAAGTTCAGAGGAATTCGACTCTGACGATGTCGGAAACATTGAAAATGTTGTCAGACAACTTTCCCGCGTTCACCATGAGAATATTGTGGAGCTATATGGAATTACAGTTCATGATAATAACGCATTTATACTAATGAATTATCCAGATTGCATAACCCTTCACAACTACTTGCATGGAGAAGAGAAACTAGAGTATACAGTGGGCCGTGGACTCAATTGGATGATCCAATGTGCTAAGGTTTGGGCTAAAGCTGTTGCATTAATAATTTATTTAAATTTTTAAATTTTAATTGACACTCCCATTTAGGGTTTAGCTCACTTGCATGCCATGAAACCAGAACCAATTTTTCATAATTGTTTAACGCCAAGCAACCTACTCCTAACCGAAAATTACCAAATTTTGAAAATAAGCGATTTTGGCATTGCTCACGAACTGCCAATGGCTTTTGACGAAGTCATTTCAGAGATTTATGAATCTATGTTAAATATATGTGAAACCCCAAAAAAATACTATTACGACTATTGCTCCTTTGGCAATATTCTATACGAAGTGATGACACGCCAGATAAAGCATATTGCAGATGGTCTATATCTTTCACCGATATTCATTAACTTATATGGCGCAGATGATATATCAGAAATAATTGATTCTTGCGTGAAGGCGCCCTTTAAGGCTGTGGAAATCAGAAAGATAATATCTGTTCTTACAAATATACTCGTGTAAGATTTATTTGAATTTCACCAAGATAAGTTGTAAAATAATTTAAACAATTTGTGTTACCTATTCGATTGCAGAACTTCTGAATCTAGAATACTTTCTCAAGTCATCATACCAATCGATGAAGATGAGGTAATATGAATACACTTATGCGTATCTATTATCACTGTTAATGTTTTATGTTCCAGTGGAATGAATTATGGCAAGAAAGTCTACAAAGGTAACAACAGATTTCATTCGAAATCATATATTTCTTCGTTATTTAAAAATTAATTAGTTTTCACTCTGCTTTCATTTAATTTTAGGCAAAATGTTGAAAAAGTGGAATTTTCGAAAATAGAGATTGTTGAGGTATCAAGTAACAATATAAATAAATTTGGAGATAATTTAATTTAAAACCTTACAGGCAATTGGGGAAGGCGCCTACGGGGTTGTTTACAAAGCGCGTTGTCCTAAATGGATTATGGCGTTAAAAGAGTTTAAGGGAAAACCCAATTCCCAAAGTCTCTTTGATGCATTTAACAAAGAGGTCCAGATGCTTGCACCTCTTGACCACGAGAATATTGTGAAACTATATGCTACGTCCACAAATTTTGGGACATATTATTTACTCATGGAATATGCTGAGAATAAATCGCTATATGACTACTTGCACGGAATGGAAAAACGCAAATACTTAATGTCAGGTGGAATGGACTGGATGAATCAGCTTGTTAATGTTTGTTCGTGTAATATAAAATATAACATGTCATTTACTTTCTGTTATCATTTGTAGGGTATAGAATACTTGCATGATTACGACCCACCGATAATTCATCGCGATTTGAAGCCTCAAAATTTATTACTATTCGAAAACTACAAAACCCTGAAGATTGGAGATTTTGGCACCGTTACAGAAATGAAGACAAAAAATACGTCAAATCTGGGCACAGAGTCTTATCAGGCACCCGAGGTATGTGGTAATTAGCAAATTTATATAAAATACAAATAATTACAAATTGTTTAATTTATTGTCAGGTAATCAGTTCAAATGGAGAATATACGGAAAAATGCGACATTTTCAGCTTTGGCATTATTCTATGGGAGGTAATGTCTCGCAAAAAACCTTCCGAATATATCGGAGAAGGGGGCCGACCGGAACTCCACGTTAAAATTATTACGGAATGTGAGCAATTGCAAAAACTGATTGAGAGTTGTTGGCATAGCGATCCGGAGAAGCGACCCTCTGCCGAATCAATTCAACTTTGTACAATTCCGTGTTCTGTTACTTATATTGACTAACTAACTATATTGACTAATCAAATAGAAAAAATAATAATAAAATCATTGTAATCCTGCTATAGATTATAATTTAGTCATGAAATTTCTGTCGTATTCCAGCCTCTGTTTCACTATTGAGATGAGTTGTTTTATCGATTTGCGATTATTGATCTTATCGATATGCTAGTCTCCTACAACGCAGCAACCCAATTTAAACACTGCAGCCAGTAACTTTTTTTATTTTTTCATGAGAATAAAAACATCGCACTAAATACTCTGCTTAACCCAAAAAAGTACACAATTTTGGAAACATTCATAAAATGAGATTTTTTTGCCAAGTATAGAAGTGTCACAACTTTTTCCACACATAGCCCCCCGGATTATGCTGCTCAGCGAGTTCACCAGCCACAGTTTGGTATCGCTAATGCTCGTTGGCCACATTTGGTTGCGCATGTTGCACGGTTACTGTAATACATCTGTATAATTAAACGTGTAAAGCATACTCGCACAATTCCGTCTTCTTAATTTAGCTCATTGGTGCAACGGTCTAGCTGCTGCTTCCTTCCTGCTGTTTCTGCTGCTGCATGATGCTCGCAGGAGTGGCACTTTCATACGTGTCACAACTTGCGCACTCCTGAGCACTCAGTGTGTGTTATTAATTGCGTAATTTGTTTATTAATACACAAATGAGCACACACCTGCAGCTCGACACAACACCTGCCCCACCAGCACCACTTGCCCCAACTGCAATTGCCTGCCTTGCAACACACTTAAAATCCGTTTACTATAAGCGGGCCAAGGCTGAGTCTGTGCCTGAAGTCTGAGGATGAGGCTGTTGTCTATCTCTGTACAACTCATCCCAATTTGCTGTTAATATACAAAAGGAGAGAACAGATACGGCCGAACCATACATGCTCTTCCAGAACTTCAAAAATGTAAGAAGTTAAGTAAACAAGTTAAGTTAAAAAGTTTTCACAACAAACAAAAATAAAGACTCATCTTTCGATCGTTTCTGTGGCAGCTAAATGGAGATAGTGCTCCGATCCGCTTGATTTCAATATATGAACTGAAGCAAAGGAAAAATGTATGTATCTCAATTTCTACCACGTTGTAACTGGAAAATTTATTGAGTTCACATGGTAAAGTAAATAACCGTCAGATAGACCTGGCTACATCGACTCGTTCAAATTATAATAACTCCCCCGCAAAGGTATAAAAAGCACTTATTCAAGGCAATTAAAGTACTCAGCTGACTCAACGAACGTTCTCCTACAAATTGCAGTCACATTTCAACTGTGCAACAAACAAAACTTGTGCGCCAACTTTTTGTCGTCAAGTATTTGACTTGCAATTGAAATGTTTTGCTTTAGCATTTTTCCCACACTCAAGACACACACACACACGCAAAAGTACGCCTCTTTTATGAGCTTGTGTGGCATAAATCAATTTTTATTTGCTTGCCACTCCGGCAGCCACTTTATGTCGGCTAGCTTCCATTCTCCATTCGCTTTAATTGGTTACACATGGAAAATTCTATTGGCAAACATGGGTTTCTCGTAGAGAAAGCTCTTTCTGCCTCTTTGTCTCACTTTCTCTTCCTTCCTCCTTAATTAAATTATAATTACCACTGTCTTATTAGCTAAATTACAGACACCGCCACCACAGGAACAACCCAAGCCAAAGGACACATGTCATGGCCCACACACACACACTCGCATACATACAAGCAGACACACATCCTCTTTAAGCTTCAGTCATCGACATTTTGCCACATTGACTTTAATTTTCAATTCACTTAATTTATTTTTAGCTTTAGTGTTCTTGATTTGTGTACAGTTGAGTTGCCTTATCATATTTACAAGAAAAATATCGATCTGCATACCCATTTCAAAGACACTTGTACAAGGTATAAGAAGCAGGATCCTATTTTTACCACAAGTTAAATGAAGTAAACCATTTAAATTGTGGTTGAAAAGCCGTCGATCAGAAAATAACTCAACAAAATAGCAGCGGTCATGACAATAAATCAAAAACGTTAAATCAATAAATAATCACAAAATACAGGCAAATGCAGCAAACAGCAAGTGAATAATGTGAAAAACTCTATGTTTTTTGAAGATAAATACAACAAATGCAAGCCTTGATTTATGTTTATCACATAAAGCTGCAGCTGACGTATGCCAAAAGCATTTGCATTCTCCCACACTGGTTAATCAAAGCGAATAACTTTCGCTCCACTGTCTGTTCGCTCGACATTATTGCGCATACGTCACGTTCACTAGTGCAGTGAATAGACCTGCAAGATGATGCTGGGCAGCGCTCTCTCTGTGCACTGGCTTCTCAATAATGGAAGCACTAAACACACTCTGGCAGCAGAGTGTATTATGGCAGTGTTTTCAACTGCAGCATTTCTGCCCACCTGCTGCTCGCAACTGGCAGTTGGCAGCTACAATAAAACCAACCATAGTGTAAGCCAAGAAAAATGAAGCCAATACAAAGCCAGACAGAAGGTGCAATAGACGATAGTGTTCGACTATGAGACACTATTGTGACTGAGACAGGAGCCGCTCCATGTGAAAAGAAAATTCTAAAAATCCAAATCTTCAATATATTCAATATTCAAATGTATCTCTCTAACTATTTTATACTCAAAAGAAAAATCGGCTTGCATTTAATAAAGTCGCTGTAAAATGAAATCCGGAATTTTGAAATAATTTTAAACAAAATTTACAAAATTAGAATGCCATTTTTTGAAAAATGGTCGTAATGATAATAGAAGTCATTCAACTTGCCGTAAATTCGTAAGTTTTTTTTCAAATTAAGTTATATGAATTTAAAAACTAACTAATGTTTGAGTTGCTTTGCGTACACATATGAAAAAATTAGACATATTTTTTTATTCATTTTAGAAAATTGTACACTATAATAATAAAGGGAAAATCCCTGATTAAAAATCAAATCTAATTACTGAATATTAAGAAGAGTTACTCTCGGCGTCAAAGACATTTCGAATTTCTAAAATTCATGGCGATTGCTTTTTATTAATATAATCGCTAGCATTGGATAAGCAACGGAGATGTCTGTTATTACCAGTTGTGTACGCTGGCTTCAAATGCCGTCATTCCTGCAAATACCTCCTTTTAACAGGGTATAAAAAAATCAACACAGAGTGTTGAGTGCATTAGATGAATATTAAAAGCACTTTGGCCAGCACCACTTGAAGGGTGGCCGGAATGGGTTTGTTGGCTGCCTGTGCTGGATCTGCACTCGTCATCATTGCGTTGCACAACGAAAAGCTCAACTAAAGTTGGAGTCGACTCCGTTTGTTTTTTTTTTTTTGCCAGGGATAGCATATACCGTTGTTGCTCGTATTTACCATGTCTTGCTCGCATCATAAATTACTAATTACTAATTATTTAATTATTTATATATAATAACATAAAATGCAGTATTTTAAAATCAAATTAAATCGAATATTTATTTTTATTTTGTATATTTCAATGTGGTCTATCTTTTCATTATTTTCGTTATCTCAGCCTTCTGAAAGATTTACTTTCCTTATTACTTTTTATATTACTAACGCTTTACCATTCTTGGGTTGACAAGGTTTTATGCGGGATTCCCCAATTCTTACCACGAGCGTTGGTCCATCGATCACCCTTAATTTTCAATTTATCTTTAACAACTCTTTTAATGGTGTACATTTAAAAAATGTGTTTTTTTCTTGATCAGCATTAAATAAATAAGTAAATGAAATAAAGAAAATTGAATCTAAGAATTTAGGTTTTTTTTTTTTTAATTTTGGACAACATCAAGTTTCAATCGACGTGACTTGACATAAATTTTCTTTTCTCTCTGTGCAACCCTTTTTCGTCCGTTGTTTTTCATACACACACGCACACAAACACACAAACACACACACACATACACTGATTTGACAATAGTGCTGCGTAATTTTCCAAACAGATTTTCGTATAGCACCGAAATATGCGGTTCATAATTCGCAGCGGTTTCGCCACTAAGTACAATTGTGAATGTCAGTGGCAGATGCCATACAATGGGGCAGCCACAAAACGCTCGACATTCAGATGGGCTGTCAACGGCAAGAACTGCCGCAATAGACAGTCAGCAAGCACACCTGTTGGGATTTATTGAGAGACAGGTGGTCAGGTGACCATGTATCTGCATCTGTGTCTGTATCTGCCACTGATAGAAACGCATGGACTTTAATTTGAACTTTTGATCAACTTCAAGCCTGGTTAGCATATTTCATTTTAGGCAAATGAATTTTCCATTTTTACTATGGCTTTGCCAACCACCTGTTGCTTCTTCCCTTTTACCACTGAGCGCTGACGGGAGCTTTTTCGTTAATCAAAAAACACAGAGAAATGTAATTTATTAAAACGCCCAAAAGAGATGCCAAGACGTATATTGACGACATTGTTAAAGCTGTGCCAGAGCAGTAAGGCCAACAAACAGCAATCAAGGCAACGAAATGCGATGGGATTAATTTCTATCCAGTTAAAGGTGCTTCCTCCCCAGCCAGTGACATTATTTGAGACGTGATGTCATTGATTGGGTAAAGTATAGTCAGAGATTTTTGGCTTCAACAAATGACAGTCAGTCTGGAGTCAACAGTCAGCTGAGATTAGCACAATCACAAACAAACATATAAATTCAGGTAAACTTAAAGTCAGCGACTGAACATATTTGAGAAGTTGACAAGAAATGAAGACTTACTTAAGAAGGTTACTTTAAAGTATTATCCATAATGTATTGAATAATGACATAATTGTACATTTTGTTTCTTTTTTTCGTTCGTATTTAAGCGAATTTTCTAAACACAATCTACATAGAACAGCTTCCAGATAAAGATTTGAAGTTTCTTCGAGCTAAGACATTTCAAAGATCTTGCGTGTCGTTTTTGTCAATTTGTTATTCATATATGTTCAGGACACGTTCATCTCATGCCTGTCCTTAGATACTTTCATAAGTGAGTATCCCAATATAACCTCATGACAACACAAACAGATTGGGGAACGGGGCCAATGGCTCGAGGCAATCCAGGGACACATTTGATGCTAACTAACAAGGAGGCGAGAA